GGATTCTGTCAAGTTGGAGCAGCAATCCTGCCTTTGGCATGGCTACATCAAATTTTGCGACCATCACATGGGAAGCAGGACTTCCTGGGGTTCTTGTAGCATCAGACCTTGCATCTGCAGCACAAGTCGCAGGAATGGGGGTTGGGGGAAGGCATCCTTCTGGCAGCTATGGCAGTGTGACCATATAGTCCATCTGATGGTGGATGAGGCTTGTGTTTCGATTGGCCTTGAGTGGGAATGTCTTCATCATTGTCAGTTTCTGCTGTTGCCTTCCTAGCATGGGATCGATGTCTGGATTGATGGGATGTCATTTTTGTGGCAGCTTTGCACTTCTGCCTGCCTCATGCTGGTTCTTCCTTGTCATCCTCCTTCTCTGGCACCTCATCTTCACCCTCATCATCCACCTCCATCCTGTGTGAGCTATCTGCTATCATTTGCTCCACCTCTGCCTCAGTCACTTTCCATTTTCCTTTGTCACTCATAGGCATTTTGGTCTCTTGAGTGGGTGGTGTTGGTGTTGGCACAATGCAGGGCATAAGGGAGGCCAAACCAGTGGTAGTCATATCAATGCTCAATGTTGAGCCACTTGTGGTTGGCAATGTCAGTTTTGGAAGGGGATAGGGCAGTCTTCCACTCAGGCCACGGGTGCTTGATCGAGCTGAGGTCTTCATGCCACTTTAAGAACATGTCGACACCAATGAGGGTCATTGGAATCTCATCTGTCCTAGCAATGAGGTTGTGTACAGTGTCCTGAATGCATCAGTTGGTGAAAAAAATGTGATGATGCTATGACACACTAGTTCATTGTTTATTGCCTTGATGGCACCTCTCCACTTTGCAATCTTGTCCACCTTTCCCAGTTTGCTGCTTTCTGTGATATCCTTGAAGTAAATTTGAAGGATGCGGTTGGCCACAGCATTGAGCTCAGGTGATGTCTTGAAGAGCTTGCAAGACAACAATGACAACATGTTTCTGATGATGAGACAATGGAGTAGTTTGATGGTGAGAGTGGTGATGGTGATTGGAGAGTGGAAGAGTCAGAGGTTAAAGATGGATGATGAGATACACAGATGTCACATTTTTTATCCTGCCTATGAATGATTCCCATGGCATGACGGAAATACTGGTACAAGTCAATAATCCTGAATGCATATATAAAGTAGAAGCTCAGATAAAGATATGATGCATTGTTCTGGAATAGCATTGCTGTTTGTTTTGCATGTTTCCCATCTGCTCCAATGGCAGAGCCTGGCTCACAGCTAAATAGACCAGCACCTCAGATTCCAACTAAATAGGCAAATCATGCAACATGAAACACAATTTATAGTGGGAAATTCAGATACTCTATAGTGTGAGAGGTTCCACTTTCTTCATTTCTTGTCTTCCTGGGCCCATCTTATATTGTGACAGGGGGATAACCCAATTATGGATAGGCCCATCCATTTGTGGTGAGCTATCTATGATATGATGGATTGGCCCATCTTATGCAGTGCCAAGGGTTTGTAATCCTGCGATGGATGGATCAGCCCATCTTATGTTGTAACACTGGTTTTTGTTTTCCCTTATCTGCTGCCTGAGAATACCATGGATGGGCCCATCCTTATGTAGATCTCTTTGATCTCCCTTTCTGCTGCCTGAGAATGCCTTACATGGACCATCCTTATGTAGATAGCTTGGATCTCCCTTTCTGCTGCCTAAGAATACCATACACAAACTCGTCCTTATGTTGCAACAGGGGTGCATCTTGCTAGATGGGCCCATCCATTTGTTGTGATGATATACATGATACTACTGAAGGGCCTGTCCTTATGTTGTGACACTATTAGACGATATTACTGATGAGCCCATCCATATGTTGCAACAATATAAACAATACCACTGAAGGGCCCATCCTTATGTTGTGACACTATTAAACAGCATTACTGATGCGCCCATCTTTATGTTTCAACAGGGTACATCTTACTGGGGCCAGGCCTGCCCATATGTTGTGATGATATAAATAATACTACTGATGGGCCTGTCCATACATTGTGATGCTATACATGAGATTACTGATGGGCCTGTCTTTATGTTGTGACAATATAAATAATATTACTGAAGGGCCTGTCCATATGTTGCGACTCTATTAAATGATATTAGTGACAGGCCCATCTTTATGTTTTGACAGGGTACATCTTACTGGGGCTGGGCCTGCCCATATGTTGTGATGATATAAATAATACTAATGAAGGGCCTGCCCATATGTTGTGATGCTATACATGAGATTACTGACAGGCCCATCTTTATGTCTTGTCAGAGGTACATCTTACTGTGGACAGGCCTGTCCATATGTTGCATAATACTACTGACAGGCCTGGCCTTATGTTGTGACTCTATTAAATGATACTAATGATGGGCCTGTCTTTATGTTTCAACAGAAGTACATCTTACTGTCAACAGGCCTGTCTATATGTTGTGACATTATGAAACAACATTACTGACAGGCCCATCTTTATGTTGCAACAGGGGTACAGCTTATTATGAATGGGCCTGTCTAGATGTTGTGACACCATAAATGATATTACTCCCAGGCCCATCCATATGTTACCAACATTGTATTCTAATCATAGATGGGCCCGTCCTTATGTTGTGACCCTCTCCATGTTATGATAGGTGGGCCTGCCTTGATGTTGCAACAGGGGGGTAACCTACCAGGATGGGCTCATCCATGTCTTACAGCAACTCAGTATACTTAATTGGTCATGGGCCCATCTAAATGTTTCAACATGCTTACCCACTGTGGGCCCTCCCATATGTTGCTCTCACTTTAGTCCCTCAGGCCCATCCATGTGTACTGGCTAATCTATCTAGGTGGGCCCATCTTGGGGTCTATATGAGTGTTGGTGTTTTGGCGCACAGGCTGCCCATGTGTTGTGACTAAATGTGACTACACTATGTGATCCTGGGATGAATTCCATGTGAGCCAGGCCAATGCCAATGCAATATGAACAGGCCCATTACCAATGCCATGCAGGCTGGCACAACACCAATGCTATGCTGGCTGTCCTGGCATTGATTCCACATGGGCAGACCCAATACCAATGCCATTCAAGGTGTCCCAGCACCAATGCAATGTGAGCCAGGCCAACACCAACCCAGGACTAATGCCATGGAGGCCATCCTGGCTGGCACTGATTTAATGTGAACCAGCACAATGCTAATGCCATGGAAGCCATGTTGGCACCAATGCCATGCATTCCAGCACATCGCCACTGCCATGGGGCCATCATGGAAGATGTCCCAGCACCAATGTATTGTGAGCCAGCACCAGCACCAGGTCCATGTGTTCCAGCACATCCCCAATGTCATGGGGCCATCATGCAGGCCATCCCAGCACCATTGGAATGAGTTCCAGCACAACACCAATGCCATGGAAGCTGTCCCAGAACCTATGCCATGTATTCTGGCACATCCCCAATACCATGAGGCCTATTGTGAAGGCCATTCTGGCACCATTGTAATGTGTACCAGCACCAGACAAATGCCATGGAGGCTGGCCTGGCACCAGTTCCATGTATTCTGGCATATCCCCAATGCCACAGGTCCATCATGCAGGCCATCCCAGCACCTGTGTAATGAGTGCTGGCACATCCCCAATGCCATGGGGCCATCATTAAAGCCATTCCAGCGCCATTTTAATGTGTTCTGGCACAACACCAATGCCATGGAAGCTGCCCCAGCACCAGTTCCATGAATTCTGGCATATCCCCAATGCCATGAGTCCATCATGCAAGCTATCTGGGCACCATTGTAATGTGTTCTGGCACAACACCAATGCCATGGAAGCAGTCCCAGCACCTATGCCATATGTTCTGGCACATCCCCAATGCCATGAAGCCATCATGCAGGCTGTCACAGCACCATTGTAATGAGTTCTAGCACATCCCCAATGCCATGAGGCCATCAGTCAAGCTGTCCCAGCACCAATGCCATGAATGCCATCTTGGTGCCAATGCCATGGAGGCCCACCCAGAAATTATACCATGCCATGCCTGACCTGCCTGACCTCCTGGGAGCAGGTCCACAGTGTATGTACATACTGGTACCAGTACCATGCTGGAGATGCATGTATTACCACAATGGTGGCTCTGGTAATGACCAGAGGACTAGCGAACTACCCAGTACATTTAAACTGTGAATTCAATGCCTTATGGCCTCCAGCAAGCCAGAACAATACCATGAAAGTCACCATCATGCTATACAGCAAAAACAATTGAGTTATGCCAGCCAGTCATCATTCAATCATCTAGGTGATCCACGACTCCATTGGCCCTTAGCACTTGTAACACCATGGCCTTGGTACAGACATCACCATACCAGATTGGTTTTCCAGTATCTGAATCATACAGTAACAACTACCAGTAGCAGTAGCTACTTCTTCCTGGAGATCACATTTTGACAATATAGAATATATTGCTGCATCTAACAAAGTACAAGTACAAAGACAAAAAAAAACATGAATGGATTGCAAAATGACAAGTACATTGATGTTAGTTGACCTCCATCCTACCTTCCTGTCTGGGTGCTGATCTGACTGCTGGTGGTGGTGGAGTAATAGAGATTGCCAGACCTCCAGCAGGTCCATGCACAGCTTCGACATTTGAAGGAGGCACTTCCAAGCCAGCACCTCCCTCAAATGAAGCTGGGGGGGGGGGGGGGGTTCAGTGGACTCCTGTCTTGAGCTGCTTTGGGATGATTGAACCTTGACAACACCAGTTGCAGTGCCAAGTTCCACCATGACCAGCATGTGAGGTACTGGTGTAGGGTTGGAAGTAGTGTGAAGTGGGACCAGAGGATGGTTAAGCATGTCTGGGGCTGGGAATAGGTGATTATGGATAGCATCTACCACCCAATGGAGAGCAGCAAGCTCAGTACAGGTTACTTCTATCTCCTGCCTCATGTCAGCATTCTCCCACTTGAGGATGGTAACCTCTTCCTGATACTCATCACAATGGCACAGATCATTGGCACTGGTTGTAGTAGTTGGCACTGGAGTGATGGGTGGGTCTGTTGCAATGCTTCTTGCACAAGACTGTGACCAGGATAGCCATGACAGAGTAATAATTTCCACTACTCAATAGAAATATTAGTTCAACCAATTAGTGAAAAACATAGGACTGTGAATAACTTACTGGGGCAGCCAGTCCATGGGCCAGGGGATGAATGACAGCTTTTTACTTTGGATGGACCAGCAGATTGATTTTGGATTGGTGCCCTTTGATGTTTGGTTTGTTGACTGGTCAATGGAGCTGGTGCAGCCAGTGTTGAAGTGGTGGGAAGGCTGGCCATGTCTTCTGGGGATTATTCCTGGCAAGGCCTTGAATAGGAGCCTTTTCACTGCATCTTGGACTTGTCTCCCCTCCCCTTGAACAAGCTGCATGAGTATTTGGTACAGTGGCATTGCCAGCATTGCCCTGCCAGCTAGCACCATGCAGGGCCAACTCCTGTCCTGGCATCCCACGCACTGCTCAGCTTCTGGCACTACCTCCCAGGACTCAGGAGGGTTGTTGATGTCTTGCCAGTCCTGCACATCCTCATCAACTGCTGGTTTCACCTTCTTTGTTGGTCTCCTTGACTGGCTCTGGCCTCTACTGGTCTGATCACTGGCATCAACAGGCTTTGCTGCTGGCTGGCCACATCTTGACTGGCTATGGCCCCATGCCTTCTCCCTGTTCTGATCCTCCTCATTTCCCAGCTTCTGCATCACAACTCCAGTGGTTCTAGCCATAGTTTCTGTGGGTGCATCTTTGGATCCCATATCAGCAGTCTACCCAATTGCCTTCCTCAGAATTAGTGCTCACCTGGAAGCCAAATCCTTTGAGCCTCATCTGTACCCAACTCTTTCCCCTTCCCCTTATCCACCAGCTGTGCCTGGTGCTTGACCCTCAACAAAGGTCTGGTAAGCTCCTCCATGACCTTGTAATATGGGTGAGACTTAGGCTGGTGATGAAGGCAATACCATGCATGATCCTTCACATCAGCCTCTTGAACCATCATCATCTGGTTGACAGGTGGCTGTGTCTGCATGGCAAAGATTGTTTCCAGGTCAACCATGTGCATATTGATAGCAATAAGATGCAGAGGGATCTCAAATGCCAGGGGTAGATGTTCAACAACTGTTCAGACCATTCCACATAGATGTCAGGAATGGATATCATGGCTGCAATTTCACTTACCAGCTGGGCCCACATAAGCTGAGCAGCTTTGCCTCAGTGCTTAGCATCCTGGCCCTGAAGTCCTCTCAGTGCCTGTATTGTAACCCTGGTAGCCTCCTCAACCATCCACTTGGCATTTTCAGCAGTGATGACTGGCTGGATGTTGTCAGTCAATTGTGCTGGGATGAAGGTGCTGGTGTTGGTGGTAGACATAGTGCTGTTAAAGCTTTGGTGTGCAGGTGGTGGGTGCTTGAGCAGTGTGGTGAATTTGCCAGCTAGCATACACCATTCAAAAGGCTTACATAAGCACAATACAAATGCTCACTCCAGTGATGCTGTGATTTACAATAGTCAATGTACTGGTTTAACCATTGAACATATTTTGGTGGGAGTAATGTATGGCAGTTGACAGTCATTCCACTAAGTGCCCATTTCCATTATGTATGCACTTGCACATCCTGCATGATGACTGGTGAAAAAATATTGTGTAATACAATCTTATCACTGGTACTGAAATCATTCTCAAACATCAGTGTAATCCCCATGGCACCTACAACATTTTGAACTTTCATATGGCTCCCAGAAATGTTAGATTCAGTTCTGGCAGTCCAGATAAACTCTGTAAGTCAACTGGTCCAAGGACCATTACTTCTAATGACTGTGTGCAGTAATTCCATCATGCCATGATATGCAGTGGCTCACATCTCTCAATGAGGATGAGCAAATGTTTACTGAAGATGACCTGCCAGATGCTCCATCATCCCCATTATGTGAGCCACCTTTTGAGCTGCCCCTGGCTCAAACAATATGCACAACTGGAATGGAACCCTCCTTCCAGTCCTCTGGTTTTCCCAGATCACCTTTGATAGAGCCAGCATGGGAGTCATTGGCACTGTCTCCCTCCTCTAGCAGCCCATTGGTTGAGCCTCCTTGGGACTCCATATCAACACACCTCTCTGACAGCACCCTGTTACTTGAGCTGGCATGGGACAAATCACCACCACCTGTTGGCCCAGGTACACCATTGCATGAGCCACCTTGGGGGTTTCCCCCACCATTCCAGTCCCCACCAGTCAGTCCTTTACAAGAACTGGCATTTCAGTTGCCTGCTGCCACAAGATTGTCAGCTTACATCTACCCAACTCATGCAGCTGGCCAATCATCACAACTGTTCATCCTATTGCCTGAGCGCCAATTTCGGTCCTTAACTCCCTCTGTGTCACCAGCCTGTCGCAATCCTATCCCAGTTCCCAGCCCAACAACATTTGCATTGCCCAGCAGCAATTTCCCTGGTCCTTGTCAACCTATGGACCTTTCAGATGCTCCTGCATCATTCAGCTCCACATCAATACCACCAGCTAGATCCCCATCACCAGTGCCAATCCTGTTGTCACATTCAGAGCTTTTAGCAGTCTCCCAGGAGTTCACCATACAGCTGGGAGTTGATACTCCACAAACTGAGCATACATCCAGAAGTTCCTATGCAACCATAGCTAAACATGTCTACCAGTTCAAATGTCAAGGCAGATCTCCAGTATTGTGGCTAGGAGTGGGGCACATCAGCCAGACATCAATGCCACACACAATGCCAATCTGATCACCACATATAGGTATTATGCCAATACCCTGGTGGATGCAACCAGGGAGTGGTGATCACATGTTGAGTGGCATGCCATGCTTACCAGATTCCAGCAACAGTTAGCAGATCTTCTGGAGGAAGAGCTAGCAGGTGTAGGCTACCATCTTAAACTAGACAAGCTTTAATTTGTATATTTAACTCATTTCAATGAACATTATGTTGAATGGAATTGGAGAAGTGCACAAATTGGCTGCAATTGGATTATGACAGTGGGTTATAGTACATGGTAGCTATGGGGCTGTTAATTCACTGGTGATTTTTGCACTGTGCAATATATATGGTTGTCACCAGTCTACTGGAAAACAGTAGGTACCAGCCTCAATTCTACCTTTGCCTCCTCATGGTTGGAGTAGGATAATTATCATCTGGCCACCATGGGGGCCTACAATTCTGCTCTGGGTGACGAGCCACACCATCCTCTTCTGCTTGATCCAACAGTCCATCTTCCCTGTCCATTGCACAGTGTCTAGGCCTGGCATTCAAATTCCTACCCACCAGATCAACTCCTGACATAGATAAGTGTGTGTAATTGTGTTGTGGATGTATACCTATGATCATTAGGTGATATGACTGTTTTATCATTCTAGGCTGCTGTAGAATGCTGTAAGGAGAGGATTAACCAAGTATGCATGGAAACCAACCATTGGATCTGATTCTTGGCTTGGGCTTGGGCTTCCTTGCAGTTGAATTGCCACCATCATTGGCATGATTGTCTGATACAATTCTATCAGCAATATTCATTGTCACCAGATACCACTTACCAGCTGGCTTTGGGTATGCAGTAGCCATATTGCACCAGTCTGATGTGGACTGGTTCCATCATCTGTTGTCCTCCTGTGCATTGGATGTTCCAGTGGGATGATCTTTGGCACACAATTCCAAGGTCATGTTAGGGTTACCAGTAAAGAATCTGACCAGCTCCAACATACCATCTATCCATTGCCATTTGGTGGAAGGTTTTGTGGGAGGAGCTGGTTCCTCCTCTGAGTGATGTCCATAGTTGGAGCATCAACAGAATTTACTTAATGTGTGATCAGTTATGTATATCCAAATTGATCATGACCTCACCTTCCATCCAGGGTCTCTTCCCTTTGGCTTTGTCTGACCAGTGCTTGGTGTTTGGTGACCTGGCTCCTCCAGGGAACCATCCTGAGATCTCCACCTCTGGAACTGGAAGACATCTTCTGGGTGCTCCTGCTGTCACTCCTTCCAGAACTCCAAGGTTTCGATTAGTTCATGATGTGTCAGCCTGGTGGGCTCTTTGGAATGGGATATTGGGAGGAAGATACTTGGAAGACACATAGGATGCCTGGTTGTCAGCTATTGCAGCCCAAGGTACACTGGCATTCGTCTTCCTACAAGCCAAGCCTGTGTTTAGATGTTAGTAACTCATTGACCATGGAAATTGGCATGTATGATAATGGCTGGTTACAAACACCCTCATGATGTCCTTTAATTCCAGTGTCTGTAAGTCCAAGAGATTTGGAAGAATGGGCATGCCATCATCATTGGTGGACAGGGAGAATTGAGACTGCTTTTTTCCTTTCCATGCTTTTACTGTGGTTTGACCAGCCTCATCCTCTCTGCTGCCATCCTCCATACCATTGGCCCCAAAGGCATTCTTTGTGTAGGCTGACCACTTTCCATGAAGGTCTTCCCAATCTGAATAGAGCTCTCCATCACCCAGCTTGTCATTGAAGTCATTCCTACACTGGTCAGATATGGTGAAGCCTGTCAGGAAAGCACTCACACTCCAACCATCACTTTGCCTTCCTTATCCTTCCATGCTGACATGATCACCACCCTCATCCCACACTGCTTCCACATGTCATATGCAAACTGTTTTGCATACTTCTGGCCCTTACTTGTTGCCACCCTGCATTTAAGTTAGTATTGCCCATGGGAGAACTTGGATGCTTACTCTGCCTGGGCTTCAGGTGGCAACTTTCTCTCATTCCACTCTTTCACCAAACAGGCTGCCTGGTCCAATTCAGCCTTGGTCAATGACTGGACTACCTTCTGAACAGCTGGCTGATAGTGTTTGATCATAGCTGATGTCCCAGGATGTATTCCAGCCTTCACAAGTACTTGCTGGATATCCTTCTTATGCTGCAGCTTGATCACCTTTAGGGCCATCCATTTGGAGCCATACTTGACCAGGGCCTTCCATGCATGGGACCTGACTGTTGTTATACATCCAGTTCTTGATGGCCTGTAAAATATACTTAACATGACTGCAAGCACATCAAAACCATCAAGCTTACTGTCCATTTTCTATTCCATTCATTTTGTTTGAGGCTCTTGTTGGCATCCAGCCATTTGATTTTGTTCTGAATGCCCTCCATCAGTGAGGCCCTTTTGTTTGTGTCAGCTTCCTTCCAATCATTTAGACCATCTTGGAGGATTTGAAGTTCATCCAGTCTCAGCTTTCCCAGTGCAGATTTTGTTGTCTCCATGCTATCCAAGCTAGATTCCTCATTGGAGGAAAAGTCCTCCTCATCTGAGGTATTAACACAATTAGTACTGTGATTGCTGCTGGCCATTCTGAATGTTGGAGAAGGTGTTGGGGTTGGTTAGTTGCAGGTAATGTTACCCTCTGTTGAAAGAAAATTTGGAGTCTGTTCCTCATAGTTTCTGTCACCCATTCTTGAATAAAGTTCCAATGGGACTAAGTGAATGTTCTGGTCATGATACATACCCATTGTTAGTATGGTCTTGTTCCAGTTCAATTGGTACCATGTGGCCAAACATGGTAAGCCAATTCATCTATCATCCAGTCTGCTACTATATATAGATAAAGTATAGTTTGATCCTGATTGGATCTTCTGACATTGATTCTGAGATCCAACTCAAATCATAGTTGTGCCAGGCATCACAATAAGGCATGTATGGCTGAGGCCTGCAGACATCCTGCAAGGACTTGATACTAGACATGGGCAAGTCATGAATCACCCAAGCTGCAGTGGCCACCCTGGTAACCCATGTCACTTGGAAAAAGGTGAAAACAACCAGGGGATCCAAAGAAAAGATGGTCAAGTTTACTCTGAGAAAGAAGGCAAGATATGCAACTGGCCAAAGCAACGAATCACCTACTAGGGCAGGATCTTTGAGCATCCAGGAACCCAATTTAGTCCAGGGTAATGATGCTGACCTATATTGCTACATGGATGATGCATCACCACTGAGGACATCAAGAATTCCAAAAAGCCAGGTGTGCATTATCAAACATCCCAGTGTTGGCAATGTGTGCCTTATGGTATTACAGAACAGTTATCTGGAAGAGTGGCTGCCCTATAAGAGTAGATACCTGTCTGTGCTCCTGGACATGGAGGCCCCACCCTAATGTCATGGCTTGTTTTGTGTGTAAAGCAGAAGGGGCACCATATAGATGCATGGACTGTGCTCATCGCCCATTGTCTTGTAAAACATGTTGCATTCAAGCAACACAAACTCAGACCATTCCATCAGGTACAAAAATGGAATGGAAGATTCTTTGAAGACTTCACTCTATGGCTGGTGAGTTCCAGCTTTCAACCCATCATCTGTGATGACTGATATCATAGGTTGGTTTGGTGCTACACTTGGGCCATGCCAGAGCACCATGCCCAGCAGGAGAAGGTTCTTGGGAGGATGCTGCCAGCCATGTAGATGAAGAGTGGGAGGACATCAAGGAGAGTCAACAACTGGCACATCTCAACCCACCAGATGATAGAAACTATCTGACAGTTGTGGACACTGGCAGGCATGCACTTTTGCAATGTGCAGTATTGCAACTGCCCTGGGTCTGAGGATTCACATCTTCAGCTTACCATGGCTGGCCTATTCCCAGCTATGACTAAGGCACCAAGGATGGCTTTCACTTTCCAGGTGCTGGATGACTTCATCAGGGACAATGTTGAATGTGGAACCTCTGCCATGAACTATTATAGCAAACTTCAGAGAGTCACCTCAAGTGCATTTCCTCACCTAGTGCCAGTGAGTGCAATCACCCCTGGCCTACCATATGCCACATCTGCTCATGCTGGTCAAAGAATAGGTATAGGGAATTGCTCAGGGTGTTGAGAATGTGGAGGCTCCTAAAGCTGTTGAAATGGCAGGGATTCCATCAACAGTTCCCTGATCCCTGGGCCAGTGAACTTGTCCTCTTCTGCCCTGCCTGTCCCCAGCCAGGGATCAATGTACTGGATCAGGATATTGATCTCTCTGAGTCCATATTCTATTCATTATTGCAAAGGCATTGTTAGCCTGACTTGTGTAGCTGGTGGTTTGCTAGGACCTTTGTGATGGACAGCAACTTCAAGGCTGAGCATATGCTGCCCAAGAATGCTGCCAAAGAGGTCTGGCTCATGGATGGAAATGGCTTCATGGTCACATCAGCTCCATACAAGGAATATTTGACCAGGACCATAAATCAAATAGAAGTTGGTGCACCATGATCTCTCCAAAGGCACCAGGACTGATTGCATTCATGCAGAAATCTGACTGCAATAACCACCTGGGCTGTTAATCAAGCAAATGCACAAAGGAATAAGTTGGAATTGACTGGGATTGGTGGATGTGCCTGTGTGAGGCATGGCTGTTTTGTACCTCATGCAATGGTCGACTTTCAGAAGGGAGAGCAGTATGCACCAATTCATAGTCCCCAGTCATGACTAACAATATAGCAGGCAGGTCAATATGGATTATGCTCTGGTCCATGCCATGCACCATGGATTGGACCCCATGCAACTGGTCATAACCTTTTATGACATCAATTGTCAGTATAGCAAGAACTTGGCCTGCTGGCTTGAGGAAAATAGATATCTCTCTCTGCCTTCCAGATTACAGATTCAGCCCAGCATTGGACTATGGCATGTCCATGGCCATCAGACAGAGTGCTTCACCAGATATGCTCCAAACTTTATTCTGGGTGCCAGCCAGGGTGGATGGTGAAATCATGGAGACCCTCTGGTCTTCTCTCAACATAATCTCACCATCAGCCCAGGGAATGGCAACAGCACACTGTCAGGAGTTGCTGGACTTCCAAATGAATGATAGTAACTTCCTCAAAATGATACATGATGCATATGTCATCACAGTACCTGGTTGACCATCACTTGATTACTTGCACATAGCATTGGCATTGAAACAGAAGTTCAAGGTTGCCAAGCAGTCATTAGCAACAATCCAAGATAAATTCAACAAGTTGGATAGCAAGGTACTGGATGGCTTGTCATCAGTTATGGGTGGAACAAGAACTTGTGGTGCAGTCATGCTGGCAGAATACTCCTGCAGGCCATGGACATATATGAAGTCTGGCTGGAGAAGGGTAAGGGGGCCAACTGTATCATCTGTCCCATAACTTACATACATCATGGTAGCACCCACCATGAAAGCCATTGAGATTGACCTAATCCATAACAACCATTCATTCAGCAGCTCACATGGTTCAGCTACTTGGATTGCATGGGCATTAAAGGTTGAGCAGGCTCAAATAGTGCTTGCTATGGATACATGACAGATGGACACCAGGGCAACAGAGGCAGACTGGTTGTCAATTTCATGCTGGCAAGACCAGTTGCAATCACAGATTGATGCACTAGTACATGGAGCAGCCCAGTTCATTGGAAATGACTGGCAAGTTAACCCCAGGCAAAGGCCCAGAAGTATAGCCCCATTTGACATGGGACAGTAATGATGAAACTGATGATCCATTCCTCCCTGATCGTCCTGGTCACCAGGAGGTCAGCAATGTTCCACTGCCATCATATATCAGAGTACAGTATTTCCATGACATTGGCCTCAGCAGTCTTGTGGAACAGGAAATACATCTGAGACAGGGCCAGGCAAATGATGCATTGCATGAATTGTGTCTGGCCCTTGTGGACAAGGCATGTGATATTTCATACAGATGTCTGGAAAGGAGGGAACTACAAAATGACAACCTGGGCATGGGGGCAGATATCCAATGCAGAGGCAATGGTTCAGCAGCATGCCACCATCTATCACCAGTGCTGAAAGCAACTCATTGCACTGGGGGCTGGGGAGGACATTCTTGGCAAATACCAAGAATTGAATAGGGCAGACCTGACTGTGAGTGCCACAATTGCAGACCCAAATGCAAGAGGTCATCATGATGACACTCTGGCCTGGTTTTGGACTGTGGACCTTCCCCAGGATTCTGCCATGAATGACAGGAATGTCAGAATGTAGGCAGATCAATTAGGGCTTGTGTGATATACTGACTGAATTATCACAGTTTATCAAGTCAACTGGCTGCATACAAAAGTGCTATGGGATTGCTGGGAAGAAGAGCTAGAGTTACTCACACTGGAGACTGGGTGGACACAGAAATTCTTCTTACACAAGGAGAAATTCTGGAGTGGCCAGCATATGGAGGCATTGGCAGTGGGCAATACTGGCTTTGCATGTTATATGGCTAGGCAGTCCCAGATGTATCTGGGAGTTAGCCAGAACACTAGGATGTACTTCAAGATATGAATTGGAAGAGTAATGTGCATATATCTCTAGATAGTATGAAACTGGGGAAATTACATATCAAGATTCTAATGAGATGTGTAATGAGGACAGCACCCTACTTATTGGTGGCTCCAGGCTGGGTAACTGAATTGACTCAGAAGTCCTCAAGCTGGTCCTGTACTTGTCCAAGCCTGTCAAAAAGGGTGAGCTGTTCACTGCAGAATTCCATCACACCATGGAGCTGGCAAATCTCCTCCTCCTGATGGATCATCTTGTCACAGCTTTCAGTCAACTGGCAAATGCTGTCTGATGGCATCTGGTCCATGTCATACAGCAGTGGGAGACTGTCTTTTCCTTCCTATGGCATGGATGGATTCAATGGAATGATTGAAAAATGACCACTGCACACCTCAACCCCAACAAAGAATTCCTTGGCCTCCTGGAAAACTTCCTCCAATGACTGATGATCATACCCATCCAGATGGGTAGGGTCCCTTGTCCACCAGGTATGTGGCATAGGACCAGTGTGGATCATACATCTCACCTTTCCTCTTTTGACCTACAGCACATTCAACTCCATGATGTGTGCCAGCAGGGCAGTCTCTCCCATATTTTGTACAGCTGTCCACCAAAGCAGTTCATTGGCAACATATGGAACCTTCATGATTGTCCCATATGAGTTGCAGGTAGCCAGGGCCTGCTTCAATATATGCTGTGGAAAAGTGTCTGACACAGCAAACTGGCATCCATTTCAACAAACTCACTGTTTCCACCTGAACCTGCCAATACCAGTCATCTGGCAGTTGATCACTTGGGTTGTTGGCCTGCTGCAAAGCATATGTGAACCATCTAAATCAGACACCTATGTATTGGATTATCATGGACAGGTAGGATAGATTAGCAGTCCTGACATCCATGGTGATTCAGAGTAGAGTTGGATCAGCTGCAAATGTGATTACATAGCAATGTGGCTGACACATGTGATGACTGCAAGATAAGAGATCATCAATAATCACATCCCAAGAGGCCAGAATAGCAAGTGGCCTATCCTGGAACAGCAGTTATCATGGGACAAGTGGCTGGATATCAATCTGAACAAGACCAATGTTAATCCTGTAGTGTATCTATGCATTACTGGCACTGCTGGACCAGTACTGGGAAAGGCAGCATTGCATTTTCTAAATGGCTGTGGAATAGGCAATTAGTTGGAAAGGCCCCAGGCTATCATCCAATGCTTGTGGACAGTGTATAATGAAAGGTCCACATGCTGAAATATGACTGGCATGGTAGGAAGTGTAGCTAGTGCCAGACCTGTAGCAGAACATTGTATCCATGCATTACTAGCACTGCCAGACCTGTACTAGAAAAGGCTGCATCATGTTTTCTCAATGGCTGTGGAGTACAAAATTAGGTTGAAAAGCCCTGGTCCATCATCTAATGCTTTGGCATGGTGTATAAAGGAACATGAACACCATGAAATAGAACCAGTGTGGTAGGAAGTGTAGCTAGCACTGGAGCCATAGCAGAACTTGCCATCTATTGCCTCTATCTTGGTACCCATACCATGCTGTAATAATATGTGGAAGCTGGAGGTACTATGCCACCATGGTGGCACCTGTTTTCGAAGGCTGGAATGGTCATTTACCAACACTGTGTAACCATGGCAGCTTCACTATGGTCTGGAAAACACTGGCATGCATAGCCACAGTTCCATACTACACACTACAGCTACCAGATAACCCATCATCAACACCATGCTCACTATATCATCTTCTGTTCTTAATGGCAATAAATCACAGTGCAACCCAGTGTCACACACCAAAGGTGTTTGGTGAGGTGGACATGGATACAGCTGATGAATGGAGATGGAAACCATAGCCCTCATGCAAAGAAGGACAGCCAGGAATGTCAGCAGTCATCCCTCACACAAGAACAAGTCATCAGTGCCAGAGAAAAAGAATGGGAGTGAGTTAAGTGCTGGCTAAAATTCTTAAGCAGCCATGTGCAGCATTCCAGTTTTCAACATATCTCTACCATTTCCATTCCCACACTCACTTGTAGTGCTCAGCCACATGATCTTACCTTCCAAAATTGGAAAGGATTTGCACACTCCACACATTTCTACAGCACTCCCTCCAAAAAGATGCTCATTTTGCTAAATTCTTCTGATATGGCTGCCTCTACATCAATCATTTCACTTGTCCCCTTTGCTAGGGACCATGGCTACATATATCTACCAGGAGTTCCTACCAGCTTCCATCCTGAAGCATCCTGGTACATCCCACCCTCGTCTGTGCCCTCTCAGCCCATCCAGCTTGGACAGCATGTTCTTTTTGTCAGTATGACCTCTAGGAGGATGTTCTTTGGTCACCTTGGGTCTGTCATTCACTTGGAAAGGTCTTATGTGGTCATTTCAGTCTCTCCAGTCCAAGAAGCATATGGATCCTTCCTCCCTGCTCCTTGCAATGTCTTCATACTGGTCTCATCCATCATTCTTCCAAGATTGTGACAGCTACAGTATAATCTACTGTTCTCCACTCTCCCTGATTGCATCCATGATGAGTATGATGCACATCTTGCCTCCTTGTTGCAAGATACAGCAGAGGACACTCCCCCTTCATCCTCTCTTCCAACAGAGCCTCATTCATGATGTTTTTATTTACTTCCCTGAGAGGATGGTTTGGGGGGGAAAGTTGTGATCCCCTATGCTCCTGTCACCCCACAGACCCCCAAAGCTTGACCCCTGTTGACATCTGACTCACCTTGTCCACTTTTGGATGTACTATATCAGCATCAGGTTGGCGCTGCCTCTCTGTCATCCCACCTTGGCTTAGAAGTGATCTCTTTGAGATGTGACATGCACAGCCTCCCCCTTATGTGATTCCAGTGCGCTTTCCCAGTTCCTGACATTACTTGACTCATACTTTGACATTCTGACTGTCTTTGACTTGCCTATTGCCAATACTTACCAATCTTTTGACTTTGCTTACTGATTCTTCACTTTTTGGCTTGTTAATCCTTACCAATCCTTACCAATGCTTTCCAAGATGATTACCCATTGCTTACATTCCTTACTCATCAGTTACCAATCACTTACCAAGTGTTTGCACCTTGTTTTCCAAGGGCAACACCCCTGTACAGTATATAAATCACTGTACTTAGATAGCAAAAAAAAAAAAAAGATGTCAGAGAGCCCCTCTTGCTCACATTTTATCATCACTCAGTAATTCATTCAGCAGCTTCAATAGTTGAGACTTTATTAAGGGTCTAACTATCATCTACTTTGCTTATCCTTGTCTATCATCAATATACTTCACTCCAAGCCCTCCCTGAGCTCAGTGCAGCTTAGGACATCAAATTAAGTTGTCATCCATTCTTCTGTAGGCTGACAGCAGTCTACCCTATCACATTCTCTTGCATTCCTGCTTCTTCTTCATCAGGAGCACTCCCAACCCTCAGCACTCATCTTTGAGTGTTGTAGCTCACAAAAACCCTCCCAAAGAACAGGTTCTACCATCTAGGTACCACATAGGCACACCACCACTCACTCTTTTTGTCTTTTGTGTTGGTTTTGGTTGGTTTTCACCACTGAACCACACTTTGACTCACACTGGGATATTACACACTATATGTGCCAGGAATTTTCCAGTCAAACCTTCCCAGGACTGAATGCCCCCAAACCAGATCCTCCACTGTACATTCCAACACATGGCATTGTTGCTATGAATCAGATAGTGGCCAGCATGCATGCAGCATACAATAATAGAAGTAAGCTGATTTCCCAGCTGAATGTAAAGTCAAACGTAAATTGTATTGCAGAGCAAAGTGGCATCAATCTGATCTGGCTTTCTGAGTGCCTTTCAGCTATGGAATTTGGGGTTGATGAAACCTGGGAGGCAGGCCACCTGGCAGCACATCCATCAAGTCTCACTGGCTTTGTGGATGAACCTATGGTAATCCTTGGTACCAGTGATACCATTGCATTGTGGTACCTTCCTGGTGCCATCACCAATGATTTGCAAGTCAGTTTGAACATTTCCTTCACACTCTATATTATTCAGGCATCCCTGCAGACACACATGCTTGCCACTCTGGACCCCCTTCACCATGCAATGTCCAAGAGTATGACAAGTGGCTCCTGGCAGAAAAATGCTGAATATTTCAATCACACTTCACAGTCACTGGGGTGCCTGGAGTTTTCCCCAGCCAGGCACCAACAGGGGCATATGGTATGGCTATATTACCTCAGGGGTATGTCTCTCAAGTGGCATCCAGACCATGAACTTTTCCCCATCAGTTTCTGCTGACCTACAGATGGATGCTGGTCATGAATGGTCCCAGCAGTCTTACCTCCCAGCTGCCATCCCCTCTGGTGCACTTTCAATTATGCACCCAGGCCTGTATGATGCTGGAAGGCAAGCCATGCAGTTGTTGGACACATGGTCAAGTCAGCATAACCAAGATATGCATGATGTCTTGCAGCACTGGCCATCAGTTTTTACTAATGTCTCCATAATCTCTAACTGGACCACACCCTTTCACCAGGACCCACACTCACAGTCTGATTGGTATGACATGCTGGTCACAGTTGGCAATTATGAAGATTGTGTATTGGATATCCCCACACTTGGCCTTCAGTTCCTTTACAACCCCAGCACTGTAGTTGCATTTTCCAGCAGGCTTCTTCAACATGGGGTTAGTTCTGTGGGTGGGAACCAATGTTGCTTTGCCTACTACATGAGGGACAACATACACAATTGGATAGGGATACCCTGTGGGGATTGGATGAGAGTTCAGAATGTCCAGACTTGGTTGATGCCTGCAGGTCTGGTGGGACATTCCATATAACCTACACTTATCCAATAGGGGGTCCATGTAAAGGTAGTTCTATAGATATTATATGCCATCCCAAGCCAAGTTATTTTCCAGATACCTCCCCCAAATATTGACTATGGCTGGCCCATAATTGGCAGAACACTTCAACTTGAGCTGAATCCAGTCAGATGGCACACTGGGAGATTGGCTTGCTTGTTGTGCACAAGACTGTGGCATATGTGCCAGACCACATGGATTGGTGATCATAATACATGGGCTGATTCAAGACAGATGGGACACCATATCATGGGCCTCCCATACACCATGAAACACTGGAGTATTCATCCAGCCTGTCCTATGGGATCATAATATCTGGGCCCTCCCCAAGGACATGGTACAATGGACTATAAGCCCTCCATAGTACATGGGCACTCCTATTTGGGCTGAGGCCGATGCACATGGCACACTGAAATATGCTCCTACCATTCCAAATGGAACACTGCAGGTCCAGCTGAGCCTTATTGCATGGGCCACTGATACATAAGCCCCATAGACAATAGCTTCCCAGCCAAGCCAATATATATGGGACACTATTTGTATGGCTCATCCATTCACCAGGGGATGCCAAAAGACTAGCCCATCATCTACACTGGTAACATTAAGTGGCCTTCACTGGGCATCCATGCCAATCAACTACCATAGGCTGGGCATCTGTCCCAGTCCCCTATCATAAGGCCAGTATGTGTCCCAGGTTATGGTCATCAACTGGGAATTTGGCCTGGCTGACTGGACTTTGCCAGAACATATACCAGCCCAATAGAATCCCACTGGAGTGCCTTCTGAACCACTGTAAATAGCCCAGAGGGTGTCATCCATCCCAGCCAACTGGAATTGGTTCAGAATTGATGCAAAACAACTGCCACCAGCCCTGGACCTGTGCCAGCCCACTATATTGTGGCTGGTAGGTGTCCCAGGTCATGGTCATCAACTGGGAATTTAACCCAGCTGACTGGATTTGGCTGGAACATATACCAGCACAATACTGTCCCACTGGAATGCCTTCTGAACCACTGTAAATAGCCTGGAGTTTGTGATCCATCCCAGCCAACTGGAGTTAGTTAGGAATTGATGCCAATCAACTGTCACTGGCCTTGGCCCCCTGCCAGTCCCCTAGATTCAGCCCAGTAGATATTCCAGCTCACTGGCAATAACATGGGATCTGCCCCAGCTAACTGGAAATGTCAGGAAGTCATACTGGCCCAATAGAATCCCACTAGTGTGCTTTCTGAACCACTGGAAATATCCTGGAGGCTGTGATCCATCTGGCCCACCTGGAATTAGATGAGCATCCATGCCCACAAACCACCACCAGCTTATCCTCTATTCTGGCATATTTGCATTACACTGGTATGGGTCCCAGCTTACAAATACTGGCATGAAAGCTGGCTAGCCATATATTCCAACTACCTGCCATAATCCAGGCACCCATCATGGCCCACCTGCATAAGGCTGGTATGTGTCCCAGCACACTAGAAGTGGCCATAACTCATACCAGCCCAATGGATGTACATTGGTATGCCTTCCAACCCACTGGAAATAGTGTGGTGGCTGTCATCCATACCAGCCAACTGGAATTAGCTCAGCATCCATGCCAACTGACCATCACCACCTTAGCATCTGTGCCAGACCACTAGCATAAGACCAGTATGTTTGCTGGCTTATTGGCATTATCCCAGCATTTGTCCCAGCTTACTGGAATTAGCCCAACATTCATACCAACCCAACAGAATTACAGTGGAATGCCTTCTGACCCACTGGCAATCACTGACACATGCTGGGCTCATGCCAGTGAGCCCAGACCAGGTTAGTACCAGATCTTTCCCAACTTGCCAGAATCCATGCCAGGATTATCCAGGCAAGATGTATATAGTAGTCACCCCTCAGCCACACTGTGCAGTATGGTGACATCCAATGATCATGGCTATGCTGTGTGACACAATGAAAACTCAGAGGTGGGCTCCACTTTAGCCAGTCTGTGCAACATGGCCAATTGTCAACCTCATTTGGTCGTATGATATGGTACAAAGTAGGTACATTATGTGCCATGACAGCCTCTAAGGCTACATTGGGTCATCCCTCCCCCCCTCTGGCAAGCAGTGGGATGTCCCACAACAGCCTCTAAGCCTACATTGGTGCATCCCTCCCAACCACCTGGCCAGCAGTGGGATGTCCCACAGCAACCTCTAAGGCTAAGTTGGGACATCCCACCCCCCTGTCTGGCAAGATGTCCCACAACACCCTCCACATAACACAAGGCCAAAATGCTATCAGACCATTTGCATGACCATAGGAGGCATGCACCCTTGTTGCACTCCAAAAAGATTCAATGTCATTGAATGACACTGGATGTAGGCCATGTAATTATGCATGAAATAAATGGGTATTTTGCAAAGAGACCTGCCCAAATTTGCTAGAGGTGTTTGGGCGTGGGAAGCGGTCACGTGAACGCGCCTCGCGCCCTCCCGCCTGGTGCATTTTATTAGGTAACAATTGCGCAGGACATGCCGATGTTGATGCTGACTCAACGCAAAGCAAAGGAATCCGGTGTACAGACAAGGATAACGCCAGGGAAATGCTGGCAGGAGAACTATAATACCTAGGAGGCCCAGTGACCTATTCATCCATCAGACTCACTCAACGAAGGACACCCTGTCAACGCCCCTAGCACACGTCCTGATCCCAAATCCACCACCCATTCCTCTGGATCCACGTTTAACCGATCCCGTCCATCCCCCCTCCTCAGTTCTATGCATCAATGTATCCACTACTATCTGATCGTACGGCGTGATCGTCTCGTCGAGATCACAGCACTCTTAATCCCGCTCTCGAACCACCTCATCCATGGGCAGGATGCTCCAGTGGGAACTTCACCGCCAAGCACATGATCTCGACACACCGTTTGTACCAGTAGACCTCTTAAGCAGGCGACTACGCAGGTTCTCGATATATAATGACCCAGGCACTCAACCACTCAGACACAACAACTGTATCATCAGTACCTTTTCGGATACGCTATACGAGGTAAGTGAACGTACGCGTCCTCAGGGGCTTACCGTGCTCACCTCAGCGTCGTAGACACAATAAGTGAGGTATAAGTACATGCGCGTCAAGCACGTGACCATTGGCTCCAATACGTCTCCTCAAGTGAACACACGCGAAGAGGGCGAAGCAAGGCAGAGAGCGAAAAGAAAACACTAAAAACATGCATGATCGAAAGAGGGCGTATGCGTATGAGATTTCCACGTGCGGAAAGAACCATGCATCAGAGAGGATACGGCAAAACGAAAAGTAAACAAAAAGCGACCGAGAAGAAAAGTGACCGTTGAAAATCGAACCTGAGGAGTTGTTCATCGATCCCCTCCGAGAATGGAAGACGCTCAACATCGCCCCCGCACCACTACTCTCGTAAGTGGTCATCAATATGTCTCACCCATTTCATCACATAGTTTCTTAGTCATCTTATCCATATTCCAAAAGCCAAGAAATGGCTTACGACCCTCGTATGCACGACCGCACTCCTCTCGCTCACCTGCTCACTCATGTCCCTCTTGTACGGATGCGTATGCATCATCCGATTCACCGCTATGAAAAGCATCCACAAGGCCACGAATCGGGCACAGGAGATACAGAAAACCATGACATTCATTTTGTGGAACGTCTCGGTAATGTTGGTGTTGCCCAGGATGTGGTTGGCTTGGTGCGACTCCCACCTCCCTCTTCCCCTGCCCCCTTTCTCATCACGCATACACGCAGGTCCATGATATTTTTATTGCCTCCATCCTCGCCTTTGTATGGCAGTCCGGATCCACATCCGACCCAGTCACACCTCCCCACTCAGCCCCAAACGCAGCGAGCAGTCCACAGGTGCTCATCTCAGCCATTTTCTTCTTGGGCCTCGTTTATTTTGGTGCAATCGCGAAGGTGTTACAGGGGTACCGTAGGGTGAGCGGCGTGACAAGGGACACAGAAACGGCGAGGGAAACGAGGGATGCCATCAGGGAAGTGAGGGATGGAGAGAAGGAGCGAGAGGGGGGGAGGACGCGAAAGGCGGCCCGGGTGAGGCAGAACAAACGACCGCAAAAAAAGACTGGAAGTGCGCCCCACAAGAAGATGACGGACACGAAAGCGAACCAGAGCTCTCTCGAACGTATAACCACGGTGATTGTAATGACGACCACGGTTCATCCGCTTTGGACGTCCTGCTGGTCTTGGGTTGCGTGGGTTAGAGAGTCCACACGTGCCGGATGAGCGGGGACACAAGCAGCAGCGTATTCGACGTGTGGCTCGTGATGTCGTGGATAAAGAATGAAAGTTAGAGAGTGGTGAGGGAAGACACCGTCGTGATCGTTCTGTGAGTGTGTAAGTTGCAGGCACCCGGTGTTGGGAGAAGAGGGCAATAATACCAAGCATGTTTATTCCCTAATTCGTGAGTACTTTATCTTACCGGCATGGCGTTTGTATTATATATCCAGTGGACGGTTGTCGGCATACATACACCGTGGGTCCAATAACGTACAAGACCAGATCCGTGACCGAAGCAAATGAGGGCTGGGCAGACATATATTGACTGCGACAATTCTGTTCGATCACATCGATTATCAGTTCTACATAAATGACTCCGATCACCTTGCTGGGGCCTGAAAATACATATGTCAATTCCGCGGATGTCGAAAAATGCATTATCCGATCCTACAGCGACAACACCGAAGAGATTGTTCATCGAATCACCGGCTCTCCGCGAATATGGAAACGCTCAGCGCTTCCCAGTATTACTACGTTTGTCTGTGTTCCTCCCTCTCTCTCTCTCTCCCTCCCTTCTCCTCGATCTGGCATGTCTGACATTGTAATCCCCAGCAAAATGACATAGTCGTGAGCATGACAGCGCCGTCCTGCTAAAGTGTGCACCGATCGCCTAGCACGTGGGTGCGTATATGATGCGTATATTACTGGTCCGGTCGGCACCAGGGACACAGATAACGACCACATTCATATGACGAAATATTGAGTCAGTTCCTACCCACATCGTCGATTCATACAGAGTATTGATATCACTTTCCAGTCTGCACGAAACACGACGAACTATGATCCAGCAACATCCATCTGACGACTCAAAAGCAACAGAATTCAGTCTTTGTCCCTTGCTCTCTGCTCGTGTCCACATCGGTGGCAAATTCACTGCTGGCACTAACTCCGCTTCGGGAAGTGACATTCCCTTCCACTTCATACCGGACTCTACCCTTCTCAAGGATCCTCTTTCGTTCGAGCTGTGACGTCTGACTTAAGGGAGGCATCAGGTGGAACTCCTTTGTTTGTGCCTCCGCCTGCCTACAATGTCTCCAATGACTTCATCAGGCTGTCTGCATATATATCATCATTCACGCTCTCCCACTGAGGGATAGCAGAGCCAAGTCCCAGCAAGACGTTTATGGTGCTGAGATTCACTAGGTGCGGGTCCTGGTGCCACCTGCACCTGCTTCGTCGAGGAGAGGAGAGAGAGATACTATCAAAAGAACTTCCATCAAATTGTTCTTCCAATCCAGGCACCGACGAAATAGATATCGAGGCGACACCGAGGCCGCGGTGATGCTGCACATCTGTGGCAGTGCACTCGAAGATCATGTGCACGGAGACCATTTGATTCTTTACCAGGGGGGAGTAGAGCAAGGCGAGTCCCGCAGACAGCGAAGCGGAATTACATGGCAATACAATTGGAATAATTTCTGAGCGGTCTGTCATGATCTGAGGTTGGTACAAATGTCAGGGACGTGTCGCAGCCATACCTTCGAGTAAGCAGTAAAGATATATATAGAACGTGAATCGTGGTTCGTAACTAACACTTCAATCCAATACACAACAAGGGGAGTAGAAAAAAAGGGTCGTTCTCCATGTCGCTATCACAAGTCGAAAGTTAATTTGTGAGATATCTCCAGTTCGGCTCTCGGTTCCACATTCTCCATCAATTCGCTATCGGGAATGGCACCATCTGTTTCAGTACGGATCGCCACCACAAAGTAACTAGCCTTAATTGTGGCCACCACCTCGTTTTCGCCGATGTCCCATGTGCTGTGTACGGAGGTGGCGGATGAAATTATGCCTCCCAATCACCTGCTTGCAGTCCTTCCACTTGCAAGCAATCTCTTCTTTACGGGACATGCCCTTAATACCATGGACGACCCTAAAATGTTGTGGCACAGAACTGCATGTGATATCTTGCCCGCATTCCACGCCGTCTTGATTGTAACGACAAACTCGAGGTGGACAATGACTATACTGATTCTGTGCATTTTAAAATAAGTTAACATTATCCCAGTATACACGGCTCAGACGAAACGTACGGTTGGATTGCCTTTCGTTTGAGGTGGCTCGGTACCGCCGCCCGAGATAGGGGATATACTATGCTTCTACATCAGCCGGAGAAGCTTCCTGATCCATAGAGGTACGGCGCACCTGGACCCTTCATCCGCATAGGCTTGGGGGTCGCTCTCCATTTGAAGTGACTCGATATCATCGCCAACAGGAAGGAATAATCTGGACTTCAGCGTCAGCCGGGGAAATCCCTGGCCCATGGAGGGACGGCACACCTGGTTCCTTCATTCGCATAGGCTTGGGGATTGCTTTCCATATGAGGTTCGATAGCGAGGCCAACATCAGGGAGGAAACTGTACTTTAGTGTCAGCCGGAGAAGATGCCTGACCCATGGAGGGATGGCGCACCCAGCTCCTTCATCCGTATAGACTTCGAGGTTGGCTCCCATTTGAGGTGGTTGCATACCACTGCCAAAAGCACGGAAGGATCTGTACTTCAATGTCAGCCGGAGAAGCTTCCTGGCCCACAACCATAAAAGGGAGGCACACCTGGTCCATTCATCCGCACACTCTTGGTGGTTGCTCTCCATTTGAGGTTCGAAAGCACTGCCCAAATCAGGGAAGAAACTGTACTTCAGCGTCTGCCGGAGAAGTTTACTGGCCCATGGAAGGATGGCAAACCTGATTCCTACATCCGTATGGTCTTCGGGGTTGCTTGTCATTTGAGGTGGCTCAAATGTAGTGTCAAAGGTACTGCACTTCTACATCAGCGGGGAAGTTGCTTGACCAATAGAGGGACGACACACCTAGTTTCTGAATCTGCATAGCATTCCAGACTGTTTGGCCATAGGGTCGGCGGGGTGTTATCGGCGAGTGAACTGTTGAATCTACTTCCATGTCAGCTAGAGAAGGTGTCAAGCCTGTAGAGAAATGGCTCACCCGATTGGGGGACCAGCATAGTGCCAGAGCTTCCCTCGATCCTTAGAGAGCATGTCTTACGGCTTAGTGGGCACACAGGATGGAGGGTTTTGACGTTTAAGAATCAGCCATGGCATTTTATCGGTCCCAGTGTGAGGCCAAAGAATGGGAGGTCGGTGGGAAAGGTCCGAGACCAGACGATGGGAGGTCGGAATGGGAAGTGGAGCGGGAGGTCGGGGGCCAGGCAATAGAAGGTCGACGATAGGACTACCCGGATTGGTTCCGCCATCTAAGGGCAGGTTAACGCGAGACTGGTACCCGTGTATCACACTCACCTGTCGTCTCCAAACAAATGGCTTCATGATAATGAAAAGGGCATACAGGCACCCCGTAGGTATATTTTGCTGCTAAAGCTCCCGGGAAAGTACACCTGACTTGGTTAGAATTTGATGTAGGTGGATTGGAGGGCCGCACCGTGTAGCATATTGTCCACCCAAAACTTGATTCTTACGCTCAAAGAGTCCACATTTTCGGTACGAATTGCGCGGTGTTGTTTCAGATCCCCGTTTTCATGTAGTCGTTGGAATCAAAATGCTTAGTAGTAGTGTAACTGTCGGGAGGGCTCAGGAGGGCTCATGCACGAGTACCGCAAGACAAGCGTTTATAATTAAATCCTGAGAAAAAGAAATGGGTGGCGACTGGAAAAGGACTAGCGGCCCATGAGGATCGATCAGTCCAAAAACGTTAGTTTCGAGCGGTTTGTCCCAGGAACCGGACGTATCATGTAGCTGCTTAATCCTTGACGTGGTGTACCGGAGCGATGACTGAAGAAACTCGGGGAGGTGCACTAGTGTTCAGGTAACTCGATCCTCAAACGGCGGAAAGTGTAACAAACTAACTTCCCTCGTCGGCGCCATGCCTATACGTCCGTAGTGGGCGTGAAATGCCAGGTACGATTTTGCCCTACTATGGGAGGGCTCGAGTACGGTGGAGCACGATAAACACAGATCAGTAAGCATCGTGTGTTCCGATAGAAACGGCCAGGCATGTGCCCGAACACGTTACCATGGGAGGGCTCAAGAATCGCAGGAACCAGAGATCCGGGATAAGCCCGCAATGACAAAAGAGAGCTCGGGATAAACTTTCCAGGTGAAGGTGGTTTTTAGGTAGGTGGGCATAGCTAATCGCCGCAACTTTCCAATACTCGCAGGTGTGTCATTTAGTCTTCCACATCCTGCTGGTCGATGTCAGCATACAAGCGTGCAAGAGCGCAGCAAGGGCAGTGGAAGACACTTATTGTAAGAATGCTCGCTGGCCCTTTGGTATTTCCGCTTGAGCACGTAACATGTACTCAGGCCGATGAATGCTGCGAGCCCGATAAGCTTCTGGCATGAAAACGCGGTGTGGCCAATCTCCTGTCCATTTAAAAAGTGCTCATGCCACATGACTCGAGTGTACCTGACAGCCATGCAAAAGAATTGCAGCTGTGGGCGCTACTTCGAACTGGCCAAATTGGCTGCTGGAGGCCCCAGCTGTGAGATGAAACCGTGTCCTCAAGGCCAGTACCAGTGGAATGTGATACTGTCTCTATCGGTGTTGCGCTTGCACTTTGCCGTCCTGTGGAACGGTATAGCACGGATGCGGATGTGATGAATCAACCAAACATGTGCATGACTTCCATCCGCACCAAAAGGTGACTCTCGGCCTGAAGAAATCATCACTGCTGACAAGATCATTGCAGCCCGTCAGATGGAGTACGTAGCGTTGGGGTGTCCATAACTTCAGGCATCGTCATGCAATTTATTGTTTGCCCAGCAACTCCGTTGGTGCAGGATGTGTGGTCAACTCCCTTGAAAAGATGAAGAGTACTGATACAAGTGGCGTAATGCATCGCAAGGGTTTTGTACTGCAAGAGTCAGTGCGGACCGTTTTTAGACGCAACTCGTAGGTGGTCAACAAGGCAAACCTGAATGTTTCGAGCGTGCAGAGCAAGGGGATCTGGTGCATAGGCCAGGAAATCCCCAGCAGGGCAATACCCTCAAGAATGCCGAGGGACTCCCTTGTCCAGGTTTGGACTCGTCTAACAGACAGACCATCATGATCATAATTCACGGCTGACAGTTGCCCCAAGTTGCCCCACTCTCAAATCTAACATCCATGCTGTCCGGTCCCAATATTCCATTTCGGATTGAGCTACATAGATAGTCTAGGGTCCAGACAATATTGGCCAAGAGGGCCGAGGGGAGGCAATTGAAAGAGCCATGTATGAGTGTATGGACAGCAAGGAAGTCTGACTCTGGTGCACAGAAGTGAAACGTAATAATCTTCCCAATTCATCGATCATCCACCGAGTCTACTATCGTGTCGGCGTTATTTATGGCCTGCGCAGGCCGCCCGGCGTGATTGACTCGCCCAGATCACAGCACTCTCAACCCCGTTCTCGACCCACCTCGCTTACGCTGGGGATCATACTTTAGTGGACCTTCCCCGCCGGGACCGCGAACGCGAAACAGTACCACTAAACCCTTTTAGCAGGTGACTGCGCGGGTTCTCCTGAGCATCGAACAAGACCAGCGACTATTCGTTGTCAATCCCATCGCGTGCGAATAATATCTCTTTTGATTTCCCCCCTTGGCCAAATCCTGCAGACCACGTTCATAAACGCGCTCAGTGCCCAAGGAATTCTCTCACAGACATGCTCCTGAGACAGGTATATCCACACTTCATGTTGAGCCTCCCTTCCTTGTATTTCTCGGGGGTCACCAGGTTCTTTGGAGAAGCAAAGGTCAGTCGACCAGATATCGACAGCGAGGATGAGCCCGATCCCATAGACGCCCAATGTGCATCGTCACGATCACGATCTGCCTTTTACCACGGCGAACGTGGGTGCTGCGCTCGTCAGATTCAAGGATTCCGGGGAGTCATTCTTCGATTCTCTCCTCTGGAATAGAAGACACCCAACATCGTCTTCGCACTACTACTCTCATAAGTGACCGTCATGTGTATCTCACACCCATTTTATTCTGATTTTTCTGATTTTCAGAGCCGTTTTATCACTGTTCCAAAACTAAGAAATGGTCTACGACCCGCTCATACCAACAAAAGCACTTCTCTCGCTACCTCCACACCCACGCCCCTCTTTTATGGGTGTGTATACATCATCCGATTCGCGCCCATGAAAAGCATGCGTAAGGTCATGAGGTGGATACTGGAGACAGAAAACTATAATATTTATATTGTAGAACATCTGGGTGGTGTTGGCGTTGTCCGGATATGGTTGGCTTGGTGTGCCTCTCATATCTCTCTTTCTCTCCTCTTCTTTTCTCTCATCACGCATGCATGTAGGTCCGTGATATTTTTTATTGTCTCTATCGTCTCCTTCATATGGCATTCCGGATCCACAACCGATCCATTCACTCCCTCCTCACCAACCCCAATGCAGCCACCGGCCCTCGGGTACTCGTCTCAACCCATTTCTTCTTGGGCCTTGTTTATTTTTGTGCGATCGTGAAGACGTTATATGGATATGGAAGGGTGAGTGAGATGGCAAGGGTCACAGAAGCGGCGAGGGGACGAGGGGTGCCATAAGAGAAGAGAGGGAAAGGGGAAAAAGAAGCGAGGGAGAGGGAGGATATGAAGAGCGGTCCAGACGAGGGAGAGTAAACGACCGCGAAGAAGACTGGAAACGCGCCCCACGTGAATTCGAAGACGGACGCAAAAGCGAACCAGAGCCGACTTTCCGAACGCACAACCACAGCGATGGTGATGACGAACGTCTCATCTGCGTTGGACGTCCTGTCGGCTCTTGGGTTGCGTTGGTCACAGGGTCCGCGCGCATTGGATGAGCGGGTATGAAGAAGGCAGCCTGGAGAGTGATGGGGGAATATATCATCGTGATGGCTATGCGAGCGTGTCAGTCGCAGGGGCTATACCATACGTTGTGAAGCACGTTTATTCACCAACTCGTGCGTGCCTGTTTTATGCGATCAGAGAACAGCATGGCATTGTAATGTATATCCAGGGGACGGTTGTCATCATACCTCATACAGTACACTGTATTATTTTTTCTTATCCAAGCAGGATTTTATTCACTCGAAATGCTGGAGTTGCTGTGTGGCATACAAATTTGAACACATGCGCTCGATGGCGACGGGAACTATTGAGACGCATCAGTACTACCCACGACTTGGCCGCGACGACCAGGGTTTCCATCACCGATCATCCAAGGCCGCCGTCGATCGATAGGAATATGCATGAAAGAATAGCCTACCAGACCTGCAGTCACCGATATTGATATTCTACTGTAAATGGCATTGTTGAAACACTTAAACCGTCGTGTCGGAGCTCGAAATTACTGCAGTTTGCGAAAATGATGACAATAGTCAAATATTTGCGAGTCGCGTCGTGAGTGTTCCAAATTAGGAAATGAAATACATGCAACGTATAGGAGTGCTCGTACTCTACAGTAGTCCAGGACTCTGTCAATATACGTTTGTTCTAGTCCCCGCCATGCCCTTTGACAGCTTCTTCGCCGCCGTTGACTGTTTCTTGGCCATTCTTGGGTCTCTAATGTACTACTAGCTCTGCGACACGGCGGCACTGTGTCGTGCGCTGATTCATTTCCTAATTTGGAAATCCTCACGACCCGACTTGCAAATATTTGACAGTTGTCATCATTTTCGCAAACTGCAGTAATCGATTGCAGCGGAGCTGTCAAAAAAATGTTCACACTTTTTCTGGTGTGGCTGCCGGGGTGAGGCGGCCTCGAGCTGACGTTTGCCTCGGTTCGAAATTGTGACTAGTTCGATGCAGATTTGAAGTCAGACAGCTCGAACTCCTTTCGAACTGACCATTTATGGGCTCAGATAATGGATCGTCCTGTCAGCGTATTACAATCTCTACAGAATCCTTGAAGTAGAATCCTCTTCTTCTTTGTACACTACAGTGGGTTCACTGGCACGAAAAAAGTCGAGTTTGCTGTCAGCCGAGCTGGCTCCGTCTTGCAGGGACTGTATAAACAAGCTGAAAAGTAACCCCCATTTTTTCTTTTCTTTCTCTTACACAAGTGCTTTGACGTAGGTACGTATACCTCGCCGTACTCCACTTAGTCTCCCATGGATCGAACCAGATTGGGAGTCTCTATCTCGGTCACTCCCCGGGCATGGTGAATGCCCAAATACCGGCCTGGATTGCAAGGCTCCCGGTTGCCCGCATTCCCACCGCATGTTTTAGACCCCAGACAAATGGAAGCGAGACTCGGAAGAATCTCGCCTGATTCATTTGTACTGACGCATACCCGACCGCTCATAGAGCGTTGAGTACTGATTGAAGGACGGGGGCCGTCATGAACTATTGGTGTCCAGCAGAGCATGCAGGGTGATCTAGGAGGGCGGCCCATCAGTTTGGCTTGTCGAACGAAAATAGGATGTCACCGAATTTGGCTGCGGGCAAGCATTTCGTGCCATTGATATAGTGTATCAGTGGCTCGGCTCGAGAGTAGGGTAGCTGAGTGACCCCTGTTTCAACTGCACACCAACTGTAAATTGACAAATCTGTCTATCCAAGAAAACACATATTACAGTCATCAACTTAGATTTGAGGACCCCATGAAGTCCATTTAGTCACAACATATAGGTAGCCTGTGTGCCAAAATGCCAACACTTATATAGACCCTGTGATGGGCCCATCTAAATAAATTAGCCATGACACATGGACAGGCCTGAGGGCCTATAGTAAGAGCAACATATGTATGGGCCTGTAAGTGCAATTCCACAACATATGGGAGGGTGAGTGGAGGGTAAGGATGCTGCAACATATAGATGGACCTGTGACCAAGTAAGTATGCTGAGCTACTGTAAGACATGGATGGGCCCATCCATGGTAGGGTGTGCCCCAGTCACAATATCAGGATGGGCCCACCTATTGTATCATGAAGAAGGTCACAACATAAAGAGGGGCCCCTCTATGATAGATTACAGAGTTGGCAACATATGGAAGGGCCCATCTTTGGGATAATATACCCCTGTCACAAAATATAGATGGGCCTGTCCATAGCAAGATGTATGCCTGTTGCAACATAAGGATGGGCCCATCAGTAATATCATTGACAGCATCACAACACATAGATGGGCCCATCTAGTAAGATGCATCCCTGTCACAACATAAAGATGGGCCCATCAGTAATGTCAGGCAGGCCCATCCATAGTAAGATGTACCTGTCACAACATAAAGACAGGCCCATCAATATATATCATTTACAGGGTCACAACACATGGATGGGCCTGTCTAGTAAGATGCACCCACATCACAACATAAAGATGGGCCTTTCAGCAATATCAATTACACGGTCACAACACATGGGTGGGCCCATCAATAGCAACACATATGCCTGTCACAACATAAAGACAGGCCCATCAGTAATATCATTTACAGTGTCACAACACATAGATGGGCCCATCAGTAATATCATTTATAGCATCACAACATATGGAAGGGCCCTTCAGCAGTATCATTTATGTGGTCACAACATAAGGACAGGCCCTTCAACAGTATTATTTATATGGTCATAACATATGGACAGGCCCTTGAGTAATATCTTTTATATTGCCATAAAACATGGATGGGTCCATCTAGTAAGATCCACCCCTGTCACAACATAAGACAGGCCCAACACCAATAGCACGTATAGTGTCACAACATATTGATCAGATCACAGTAAAATATTGAGGCAAGTGTCCTAACATGCCATAATTTTCCAACAAGCTGCAAGTGGCTTGCCCACTATACAACTCTGACCTCATCCACCCCAAGCATGAATACTACACAAGACACATCTAAAACCCCCCATGGATGGCAAATGGAACTAACAGACTGCATTGCATCATACATGAAAGCCAGATTTCAAGAGGAGGTATTCAGCAGACCTTGCACCCTTCCAGATATATCAATTCTGTTTCTGGTGTTATGTGAAGTGGATCACATATCATCAGTAATCTCACAGGCCTATCATTGCCCAAGTAAGTCCATCATAATGGTGTGATGGAAGTTTTCATCTTTCTGCAGTCAACATTGGGAAAAATTGGGGTGGAAAAACCTGCAATGCAGAAGCTGCTGAGAGATATGCAGAAGTGACTGAGCTGTCCATTCTGGTGACCAACTCAAACACCATCCATGTTTGGTATTTTCCAGACACTCTCAGCCCAAAATGAAGGGTAAGGGAATGGAGAATCTCATATTCTACTGACTTAATGGAATGGCAGACCAATGTATGGAACTGCCTTCATCTTCTGAGGGAACCACTGTGGGAGAGCATAAAGGCTTCCCCACAGGCATGGCGGACAGACAAGTCATATTTCCATGATAATGCTGAGTTGAAAGGCACCATCAACCTGTCACCTGCATGGTTTCAACAGGGTCATGGGGTGGGTGATCATTTCCTGCCTTGTGAATAAAGTGCTCATCTGTCTTGAAGCCCCAAAATGGCTTCCCAGAAGCCTCATGGCTGCTCAAATCCAGGATGGAAAACACTTCTACAAGGGAATGGGTCAACCAAATGTCCAACACCAATGCCCTATTATCTGTGATCCTGCATGTCATCCATCTGCAAGTGTATGCAGATGACAGGGAAGCATTGATCTGCCTTGGTGAACAGGCAGAACAGTGGGTGGATTCAGATATGAGCTCCATACTGCTGATATGGAGCTCCATGTATAGCAGCATGTCCATGATGGTGAATCAGGCAACTTGTTACCACAGGGATATCAATGGATGGGATCCATGGTATGACATGCTGGTAACTGTGGGTGACTACCCACCCTTGGACTTTGTCATTCCAACATTGAATCTGCAGCTGCACTACAACCCAGGGATGATCATTGCATTTTCAGTTTCAGCATTGGAGCATGGGGTGGGAGCTGTAGATGGTGACAGAGCATGCCTGGTGTACTATATGCATGCCAATGTACATCAGTCAGTGCATGTTCCCATGTGTCAATCACCATGGATGGATGACCTACTACCTAGACCAGTTGCAACTGGAGAACTGTTGATTTGAAGCTGCAAAATTTAATGTAAGATTTAGTAGGTGATGCAGATCTTGTATTTTATTAGGATATGCTGGCTCTCAAACTTCAGATGGGTGGTGTTTCCAAGATTTTGCAAATGGGCAGGTGCTTTGACATCATAGATTGGGCAGGTACTCAGAGCTAAAGGGTGTGCATCATAAACTGCAAAAAAAATAAACCTACTCAGGCCATCATGCAGATGGGCAGATTGTCAGACATTGCATGCATGGGCAGGGGTTCAGACATCATGCAAATGGGTGGTATCTCATAAATGATTGACATTCACAGCAATGTATATACAACCAACTCTACAGTCAAAAACATGTAAACTATTGAAGCAGCATGCCCAACAACCCATGCAATGCCCACCACCTAGTGTAGAAATGGTCAATTTGTCAACCATGACCATTGACAACATCAGCATATTTCTGAATATTTTCGATGCAGTAGTTTACCTACTCCTTGATATGGCCATCAAGACAGTCTGTGATTGGTGCCTCAAGAAATGGCCATAAGCCCTGGGCCATCATCAACTATTTGCAGTGACAAGAATAAGCAGCATACCTTGAAAAAATCCCAGGCTGCAGAAAACAATCCCTTGCCTTGCAATCTTTGGGAATCTGCTGCATATTCCTTGGAATGATATAGCCACCAAGGGACTGCAAAGCTGGAATTGGGATCAGCTGCATGTGGGGTCCAATGCAGGATGATGGCACTGATATTGTCAATTATGCAAAATGTGCTAAGGGGAGTTAGCTGCATTTGATTGTGGAAGCTAACCTCATCATCTTGGTGTCTGAGGTATGCATGGTAGCACACCAGGAGGGGAGGAGTATAATTGGCATGCAACACTGTCACCAGAATCAAGCTATTAAGCTGATTCTGAAGGAATTATGTATCAGTCCCACATTGTGAAAATTGATGTAAAACCTACCAAGTCCATTGCTAGGTTTGCAAACCAATGTGTGGGCCATCCCACAATATTGGCAGTCTGCTTCAGATGTACAGAGGCCACCTTGATCTGGCATGCCAAGTAGAGGATACCCATCTCTACCACAGACTGGCAAGATGGGTGTGATTGGCTGGCAATGAATGGCTTGGGACATTTTTCAAAGGCAGAATGTGGATAATGAACAACTTCCATCAAATTGAGCCTATTGACAAGTCAAAGGCCCTGAGAGGCTGGTTAGTGAATGGCCTTTACGGGTAGTGCTGGCACATATCTCAACAGCACAGGTTCATTTTCATTAAGCTAGAAGCCCCAAAATAAATTTCTGAGATACTTGAAACAAAATTGAACAGTTGGCACAATGGCAGGTGCAAATGGGCCAATGGAGGCCAATGGTTGTTATGGATGTATTGGATGATGTACAAGAGCTGTCTTCCCCAGAGGCTTGCAGCAGAGCCTACTCTCCAGAAGGCTGACATTTGGGGTATTAATCTGGGACCCGCATGCCTATAGGACGTGATTCTCTGGGAGGCTGACACTCAGGGTATTATTCTGGGACCTGCCCACCTATAGGACACAAAGTCGTCGAACTGACAGGCTGGTCACTGGTCACCAGCTACCTGCCGAACACATGCACACGCTTACAACAAACTTACAAGCTCAATCATTACTCTTTCCATCAGAAATCTGACTCACAGGTTCCAGAACCCGCAGGAGGAATAAAATGCAGGAAGTTGGTGTCTGTTGAATAATCCATTCCTGGAGCAATCTGGCTACACCAGTTGAGACGCTGACAATGATCAGAGATGCCTGAGTTGCTGCCACCCAATTGGAGAACATACAGCCTTGCATTCACTCCTCGTGGAGCCTTTCAAAAGATCCTGAAGTTATCTTCATACATCCAGGCACTCGAGGCCAGTAGTCTGATTCCAGCATGAATAGATGAACAGCAATGTGAGATGTATTGAGATTCTGTTGCCATATACAGAGTTTAGTTAGTGCGTTGGCTTGCAGTGGGTCTTCAGGCATTAGTTGGCAGGGGAGTTGGGTTTGGGTCCTCTAACTGGTTTTCTGTTGCTGGAGGCTGGAGGGGGGAGGGGTGTTGGGGTGGAAGTGGGTGTGGAGGTTGGTGAGGTGTTGTGAAGGATGTTGTGCCAAATGGGTGGGCCACCTCTTCCACCATGTATTCTGTTGAATTGTCTGTGTCTTGGTGGGCCAGATCATGGGTTCATCACTTCCCCTAATGTCATTTGTCTGAGTGGGCCATTGACATTGGGTGTCATGGTTGGGGGTCTTGTGGGTATGATCAGGTTAGTTGACTGGGCTGGGAGTTTGATGTGCATCCATTCTTCTGATGTGGGGAAATAAGGCATGTAATTTTCTGGGGTGACCTCTGATTCACTTAGGTTGTAGCTATGTACAGGGGAGTTTATATACTGTAGGGGGAGCACAGCCTATGGCAAATGAGGCACAAACACTTGGTAAATAATGAGTAAGTACTGTAAGCAATGAGTAATCATGATGAGTAAGTGAGAAATGCAAAGTAAGCAAGCAAAGTGGATTGGTAAGTCTTGACAACAAACAAGTCAAGGACAATCAAAAATATCACAGTATGAGTCAAAGAATGTCAGACACTGAGTAAGCACACTAGTATCACATTAGGGGGTGGCAATGCATGTCAGATTTTGGCAGAGACATGTCTAGATCCAAAGATGGCATGACAGATGGACAGTGTTTCCAGATGGGGAAGCATCAAATTCCAGAAATGGATGGCATGAGTCAGGTGTCAAAGGGCTAGGGTGTTGGGGGTCTGTGGGGTAATGGGAGCATAGGTAATTGCATCTCCCACCCATTCATCCTCTCAGCAAAGTTAATAAAACACTTCATGAATGGGGCTCTGATGGAGGAGAGGGAGAAGGGGGGATGTCTTCTGCTGGGTCTTGTGGTAAGAAGGCAAGCTGCATGTCATACTCATCATGGATGTAATCAGGGAGGGCAGAGAACAGTAGGTTATACTGCAGCTGTTGCAATGTGGGGAGAGTGATGGACAAGATTGGAATAAAGTTGTTGCAGGGCAGTGTAAGGAGCTGTATTCTCCCTGAGGCTGAAACAGGAATCTGTCACTAAATTCTGCTTGCCTCTGTGACAAACCCCTATTGCTCTATGCCTTTGGATGCTTTCAGAATTCTTCCCACTCATAGCCTTGTATTTCCTCCCAGCCCCTGTTGCCTTTAGATTTTCTCCTGACCTTCAGCATGTCACTCAGTCATCAATAAGCTGATCCAGAAATTCTGCATTCACCCAGAGTCATCCAAAAATCAGTAGCCAAGTCACCACCCAGCCACATCACCACTCATCTGTGCCAGTTGCCTCTAAAAAACTCCAACTGTCCCTGTCACCCCAAGTTCTGCAAGCCAGTCTTCATGCTAGTAGGCTCTGCCCTCCTGTGCTTCCACCTTCCTGCCAGCTCCACCTCTCACCTGTACATGTACCCTCATTCTGTTGGAAGATACCCCTTACCATTGTCCCATTTTACTCTTGTTTACCACTTGCTAGACCATTTCATGTGCATCTGTATTTCACTGACATCTGTCACTCTTTCTTTTATTTTCCAGTCTTTTAGTTTTTCCACCCCACCTGACTCTGACTCATACCTATGTCCCTTGTACTATATAATTCTGCCATAATGTTGAAAATATACCACCCACTTTGGAGTCACTATCTGTGTGTGTCTCACAAGTTCAAGAGTTCTTGGAGTCTAAAAGTGTCTATTGAGTCTACAGCATCCACAGTGTCTCTAATTTCCCCTACACCACTTGTGTTTCCAGTCTATTGTGTCCTGCCTTGTGACTCAGCTTCTATCTTCTCATCACATATCTGTCACTCAGAATTCTGTATACCCAGCTCACTGTTGCTTGCATATCAACAAGTCATCAGAATTTAATTCCATGAACCTCACACATATTCCCTACCCCTTCTAGGGTAACCCTTGACTTCTCCTTCCACACAGCACCCCTTGGGGAAATCCTAGGGAATTCTCCCTTCAGCTTTCCTCTAGTCACATGCCTCCCAGAAGTCATGTCACACAATGTTTTGGAGCCCACTGTGAGGGGTCTGTAGATCTGGAAAGGAGATCCTTATGACCCACTTGTCAAAGAACTGAACTTGAAGAGCTCCTAGAGCCCTTCTGCAGACTATCTATTTCTTCATCAGAAATCTTAATCCCAGTAGCTGATCCTAGAGATCTTTCAGAGCCCAAAGTCCCCAGCATTTTATGCAGCATTTCCTGGAGGTTTCAACTTTGATGAACCTTTCACTCCTCCTGCCAAGTGTCAAGAACTTTCACCTCTTTCAGAACTAACTTCTTTGTCACCCTTGCCATCCAGTGATTCAGAACTAGCTGCTGAACAGCTTCTCCTTCCTTCCTACTCCCTAATCACAAATTCTGCTATCACCCTTTCTACTTAAATACCCCTACAGAATACCCTTGCCTCATCTCTCTCAAATTTCACTCCTACCATTCCCCAAATTCTGATCCAGATCCCCCCACCACTTCACATAACGACTGGAGCAAAAGATATGCTGCTCAGGGGTTCCAACAAAGCCCTGAAGTTTTCTGGGCATACTGAAGATATCACCCATTACCTCAAAGACATTGAACAACTCTGTCTCAACACTGGTCTCATTTCCAGAAAAGATAAGATCCACTGGGTCATTCATTATGCTGACCACAACAAGGTGGAATTTTGGTCCAACTTAGATGCTGCAACCAATGGCTTCAATGACTGGGATGTGTTCTCCAAAGAACTCCTGAACTACTATCCAGGTGCCTTGGTAAAAGATCATCACTATAACAAAGCCAACCTCAAAACTCTACTCTACCATCAGGTTCAGAAGCCTATGGAGTCACTGGAAGATCTTGGGAAATATGTCCAAGAATTCCAACACATCCTCAGCCTCATCCAGAAGAAGAAGAAACTCCCTGAGGACTACATCAATGAGAAATTCCTTGAGGGGTTTCCCCTGAGGTTCTGGAATTCTTTGCTCACATGATTGCAACTCTCTGACCTAGATCATGACATCAACAAACAATGGGAGTTTGATACAGTCTACAAACATGCCAACTACCTCCTCAGTGGGGCCAAACAAACCTCCCTCAGCCAGACTTGTCAGCACTGTTTCCCCTGAATTCCACTCCAACTTCCTCACCAACTGTTCCTACTATCTTGAAACAAGAGTATGTTCATGTTGCTCAGAAACCAGTCTCTGCCCCACCTCCTAAAGAAGGTCAAGAAGGCCAATTTTGCCATTCCTTTGATCTATGGTGTTTCTTCTGCAGGGGAACAGATGGCCACAGAACTGCAGAGTATGCACTGTGTCATGAATACATAAAAGCTGGGAAATGCTCTCTGATTTGGGGAAGAGTGTTTTTCCAGATGGCTCTGACATTCCTAGGACAGCTGTGGGTTGGAATTTCAAAGAAAAGATTGATGACTTCCTTACCATGCATGACTCAATCATTGCCTTGGCAAACATTGTCTCAGTTCAGTGACCCAGCAAGTAGTCAACCTTGTCCTGTGGGCATGATACTCCTCCCTAGCTTGTCAGCACAATGTTCTGCAGCAATGAGGATGCCTCAGAATACCAAGTCAACTTACATCCCTCCTATCTATTTGACAAAGACCTAGAGGAGGGCACTGACAAAGAGGACCAATGTGCCTTAGCAAGCGCTTATGCACAGGTAGAAGAGTTGAAGAATGCTCTCAAGAAAAAGAAGACAGCTCACTTCAATGGTGTAGAAATCCCAGTTCATCATCAAAGACCAGCACTAGCAGTCCCAGCATTGGCCAACATGCCAGTGGCCCCTATCCCAGTTGGTAATCCCACTCCAGCTCACCCTGCCTCTTCTTCAGAAGCACCAGCAGCCAGAAAAACTCCAGTTGCTCCTAATCTTACAGATCTCTGGAAACTTAAGCCCTCTACAAATTCCATGCCTCAATTCTGTTACCAAAGCAGCTTTGATGAGGCTGCAGCAACCAAGTGGATCATAAACCAGGTCTTAGACCCAAAGATGGAAATCTCCACTAAAGACCTATTAGCTGTCAGCCTGGAGATTCACAAGCAGGTCAAAGAACTGGCTGTGACAAAGAAGATGATGATTGGGAGTTTAGAAACCACATCAGACATGACACCCT